CTTATATGTTACTTCTATCACAGTTCATTAAGTCTTCATACTTAAATGAATTGTCATGTGATTCAGCTTAAAAAAGTCATGATGAATTTATAATTTTTGACGACGGGTGGCAGCAGCGATCAAGAATATTTCATCAAATCAACTAAAATTTATAACATAATGAACTCAACCTCTTACCTAAAAATAAATGTCCTATTTTTTGGGTAATACCATAAATCTATATATTGTAATATCAAATCAAAATTATTTGCAATTTTATTTTTAAAATAATTAAGACAAATTTCTTTTTAAAGTAAATCTAATTATGTTAAAATACTTATCGTAAAATTTATCTATTGCATTATCAATAAATCAAAATTATTTGCAATTTTATTTTCAAAGAAAGCAATTATTTATTATAAAATTAGCTGCAAAAAATAATTACTTTAGACTTATAATTTGTATTTTAATTTTAATTTCTTTTTTTTTTATAAATTGATAACTAGACTTTATGAATTAATCAAATTACTTTGATTAATTGATCGATTAATTGATTGATCAATTGATCGATTAGTTACGTTGATTTAAAATCATTTTATGTAAATCTATTTTATATCTAGATTAGGCTTGACCAATTAGAATTTATAGTTTACATAACCTCTTCCTCCCATTTTTTTATTATTTAATATGTAATAATATATAATATATATGATCAATGATATTGCAAATTTTAATAATCATGTGATTTATTGATTAAATTTATTAGCAGATTAATAATAGAATTATTTCTCTAAATTATCATAATATAAATTTTAGGTTAAATTGGGTGTATGACAAATGATTTTTACTATGAGTTACCTATCAATGATCTATAAAAAATTTCACAAATTTTCCAACATAAAGTTAGAAATCTGATTCAATATTACTAACCAACCTCTTATATATAGAACAATAACAAAACTTTCATTTTGTTACGTTAAATAATTAACCCATTTCTGATAAGCTTATTTTCAAATAATATGATATTGCTTTAGGGAGTTATTCTATTAATATAATGTTACGCCATGATCAGTAAAGTTATTTTTTATTTAAATTCACTTTTTTATAATAAAATAAAAATTTTTATCTGAAATATATCTAAATATATCTAAAAGTAAAACAATAATAAAATATTTTATTGAAAGTAAAAAAAAAGACATATTTTCACTTATCTTATATTGCATTAATCACCTTTGGATACTTCGTCTTTTATTTTTTCATTTTTTTGGTATCTTGTCATTGATTAACGTTAAATTTTATTGTTTCTGATTTAACTACCTTTTAAACTTTGGATTGACTTATAAATTTATTTATTCAGTATACCTACTAATTCTTTTATCACTCAGGGCCATTTGTTCTGCTGAATAAATTTTAGGAGCCTTTGTATTTTTATAGCAAAAGTTATATAATAATATTTAATAATTATTTTTTGAGACATAATATTTAAAAAAATTAGATATCTTCGAAAAGTTGCGCAAATTTTTTTGCACAATTGTTAATTCTTTGTTTAGATAAGTTTTGACCTATTATTTTATTTTATTTTACTCTATTTAAAGCAAAAAATCTCATTAATTTTTTTTAAATCAAATATTTACCTATTGAAAACAGTAGAATATTTGATGCGATTCAATATTTGATCAAAACCAAATGATGATAATAGATCTAATGGATCATGAATCAAGAAGTAGTTTCACAGATAGCCTAGTTTATATCAGAAAAATTTCTAATAGATGTATTAGAAACTTATATAAATGTATAAAAAATATGTTATATTTTGTAGTAACAGTTACTAATAGTATTAAATGTATACTACCTGAGCGAATAATCATAATTATAAAAAATACACAGTTTTTAGAATTATATGAAATATTTATTTTTGAACAATTTAATAATCAAGATTTTGTAGTTTATGTTCGTCAAAATAAAGTTAACAAATAGGTAGAAGTAAGTGATGGTTTAAACAGTGATCTTAAAATCATAAAAGTCTTAGAACATAATCATGTAAAATTTTCATTTCTTATAGAATCATTAAGAAATATAGAACCACCTAGATTTCCTGATGCATTTAACATTATGATGATAAATGTACAACAACTACATCTTTCACAACACTGTACTGAATGTATTAGATGTGACCTATTATACAATAAGATCATTAATCTTTTGCATAATCAAAAAGCTGGTTGGAAGAGAAATATTCATCAAACTTTAGAAAAGGAGTTTGTAAAACATATTGCAAATGCTTTTTGATATATTGATTTATATTTAAATTATTACAATCTCATTCCTGTCATATACCCATACTTTTTAAAGAATTGGCAACATATGCAAGTGATAATACTAATAGAAATACTTAAAATCTCACATATTATACTAATCATCACAAAAAAGAACCTATTTCATATTAAAAGTTAGACTTTTTAATTAAATCATTAGAACTCTTTATAGGGTAATCTTGAGTGAATGATAATAAATGGAATAATGTTATTCCCGCTATAATTTTCTTAGTAAATATGATGTGAAAATATAGTGAACATTTTGTAAAAAGTAAAAAAATAATGATCACTATTCATCATAATGATGAATCAACATACAATCCAACAAATAATGCTAGTATGTTTCATATTCTTGGCTATAAGAAAGATGATCTTAACAAACAATATCAAGAGTTAAATAATGTTATTTTACAACTTAGTTACTATTAACATGTGGATGTTTATTTTTATCTTCCTATAGATGTTATGAAATATTATCGATATATTAAAAATCTTCAGTTAACATATTCAATTGGAATTTATAGGTAATATAAACTATAAAATTTATACTAGTAGCTGCTTGTTTATTAATTAATACTAATAGTAAACATTTTTTTAGATATGTATAAGGAAATTATCTTGATATGATAACATATATATAGAAAATACCAGAATTTGAAATAACTGTTGAATTTCAAGATGAGACCCAAAAAGTTTGTATGTTAGTTAAAATTCATGAAGTACTGTCTAAATATTTTACTCAGCAAATGAGAAAAAACATTCTTAATAAGGTATTGTTAAATTATATTAAGAAAATTAGTTATATTTAAAATATTTTAAATTGGTTAATATATAAATTACTTGCATAGTATTTTTAATAAAAACAGTTACTTCTGCTATATTGTGAATGCTATATTTTGAATTTACTGGAGATGCAGCTATTATATCAAATACTATTAGTTGCGAAATTGAAGAAAAATTATGCTTAATATTAGCATTTGAAAATCTATTAATAATATTAGATTTGCAAACAAATAATGGATTCAAGGGAAATAAATTTAATATATTTTGGAATAAATTAGATATGTATTTTAATAAGGTATGTAATTTTTTGGATTAATAATATTATAATATATATTGTATAATAATCTTTAAAATAATTATATAGGAAACTCTGACTGTAGATGATCGATGCCATAATACAATCATAAATATCCTTTGGCAATTTCTATACGTGATCTTTGTAACATAATTTTGGCATGGCTACATATTAAGAATGGTGAACTACTCTCAGCAGAAATTCATATACCATCATATGAATGGATCTGATTACAGTTTTTACCAACAAATTTTATAAAAAAAAGGCTATACAATATACAAAAAGATATCAAGTTAAATTTAAAGTGCAAGGTAGACTTCTTCGTAAAGAAAGTATATATGCATATTACTTCATAATACTTTTTCATTATTTACATAAATTTTTAATTAGATATCAGCAGTGAGCATGTTTTATATCAGCTGATGATAAGCATAAAGTTCCTATTGATGAGAGTGTATCTGTTTCTTTTTAAATACATAATCATGATCATTGGCTTTACAAAATAATGATCTGAATGTAGCTTATCATGACTTTACCAAACTTTCTTTTACTCCTTCAGTTATTTTTATTTCAAGTGATATTTTAGGTGGATTTTATAATAGACAGGTCTTTGTATCTTTTAAAGATACTGTTTTTGAGCTAAGCAGTGCTATTTAATATGCAACAGAATTTTATAATGCTATTTATACAATGCAAACAAACAAAATTTACCAATTTTATACTATTATACTGATGGTATACCAGATCATAAATACACTTATGATTCAGTTCAAATTACTTTAATTAGTTTTTTTTTATATGAAAATTATAATATGCTTATTGCAGTATGCATAGTTCTACATCACAGTTGGATAAACCCTGCAGAAAGAATAATAAGCATCTTAAATTTAGGACTTCAAAATGTAGCAATTATACGAAACATGATGAATGATAAATCTGAAGCACTTTTTGACAAAACTGATACACTTAATGAAATTCATGAAAGTGCAAATAAAAATTCTAATTTAGAGATGAAATTGTAAAATTGTATTAAAGGTGTTTAAACTTTATTACATAATCATTCTAAAAGGTTAATTTTAAAAGATCAATATTTTAAATGTTATGATACTGCCAGTGAATAAGATATTAATGATATTAATAGCTTATTTGAAGTAAGTAAACAGAAGACACTTGAAAGGAATCAATATTTTTATTTTATATATTTAACTTAATTTTAAAATAATATTTTATATAGTCTATATCAAAGATTGATCCTTCATTGACTTGTAATAATACTACACAAGTTCAATTAATGCATTATAAGAAATTGATTAAATTTATGACAACTTAATATCATAAACATACTTATTCTTTTCAAGTATACTTTTATTTTTAATAAATATACAATTTGTTTAAATTCAATAGTTTTATTATTATATACGTACCAATACATCTTCCACAAATTATCTTTGATAATTTACATTTTCTACCTGATCTAATTTCTGCAAAAGGTATTTTATAATTTATAGTAATAATTTTACTTTTACTTATAAAATTTTTATATTATAAACAATTCTAATTATTATTCTTTATTATTCTGTTTATGAAATGAAAACTAGTAAAGAATTTCATCTAATATTGCAAATTAATCAAGCTAATACTGAACTAGTACCAACAAGTATATTAACTAGGTAACAGAAACCATTAGGAACATCTAAAGCATTAATTAACATAAAAATATCTTTAGTACTATTTATTTATAAAGTTAAAAATACAATTAATTAAAAAAATGTCTGTATTACTAAATTAAAATTATCAATTTCTAACTTTATTAGAATAATTTAATTGTGTTTTATAATTACGCTATATTAATCTTTTTTAAATAGTTAAATAAATGTTCAAAAAACTGAAAAAACTAAGTATTACATAAAATGATTAACAGAAATATGATTGACAGATCATGTGTTGTGATAGACACTACATGCATAGTTTCAGCTCTAACCAGAAATGTTCTACGCTACGCTTCAGATAATTAGTGAGAAAATTTGTGATTATGTTACATGTTGTGATTGTGAAAATTGGCGATATGTTTTTAGTAATAAAGCATTAAGTCAAGAGAAAATTCAGGATTTTAAACAAGCTTTGGATACATATAATTATTCATGTGGTATATCTCTTTTTCCTGATAATCATATCATTATTTGATAGAAATATTATTATTTATTCGTGTAAAAATATCTTGCAATATTCCTATAGAAATTCTTTATTATTCTAGTTAAAAATCAGGAAATTTTAATATATGTTATCATTGTAATGCAAGTAGTGATTTATCTTGTATGTTAACTACTATATATAAAATAGTATACTGTATCTATTATGTCAAAAATATCAGAATAAGGATAAGAAATTTAGCACTCATTTGGAGATTAAAGTAAATAATAATAAGCAAAGAAAACAGTTAATTAGATTCAAAACCATTTCTTACTAATTAAATCTATAGTAAAATTATAATATAATAAAATTTGAACATTTACATGCTTTATTTTTTAATTCATGTAATACTTTATATTAGTTTAGAAAATAAGTTTTACATATAATTATAAGATAGTATTTATTATAAAATAAATTTTTACATTTTTTTTATAATTAAAAATCTATATAAATTATTTTTACATATTGTTAATGTGTAATTTTTGCGAACTACAACTGTTAGACGGGTGTCAGAGTGTTATTTCTTTTTAATTGCACAGTAATCTTAAGGCTTTTACAAGTTGATTATCACGACTAATTCAAGTAAAGGTTTTAAGTCAAGGTTTATATGAGTATTTCACGATTAACAATTTATAAGGTATCGAGTAATTATATTTTCAAGTAAGATGTTTATTAATAAGAATAGAAATAGAAATAAAGAAAATAAAAGATATGACAAGAGAAAAGAAAATAAAATAAAAGAAAAGAAACGAAGTATGAAACTAAAATATAACACGATATAATATATCGTATATGTCAAATATGTCAGATATGTTATATATATCAAATCAGTCTAATATATCTTATTTGTCAATCATGTCAGATATATCATATATGTCAGACATGTCAGAAATGTCATATTTGTCAGATTTGTCAATCATCTGCACCACATAGGTCCTATCATATTTTATTCGTTCACATTACTCCCTGCTTAAGATTTCTGCTCCTGCAGAAATGTCAAGAGTTTTCAATAGAAGAGCTTGATATTCGTTAGACTCCAGTTGGTGAACCATGGTTAAGGTTAAGCGTTGAGTAATAAAGATTTGTTAGATTCCTAAGTTTCAAAGAGGTGATAAACTCAGATAGCAGTTCAAAAATAATGTTTCGTAAGCATCGCCATTTGTAACGTCCGTTAAGCAGAAGAAGTAGTTGCAGCATCAATAAGTTGACCTTACTGGTCGAAATCAAAAAAATCAGTCATGTAATAAATCAGCCTAAAATCAGATATCATCAAAAATCAGCCAAAATCAAGCTATTTGATTTATAGCCAATTTGGTATATATCAAGAATTGACCAAAATTTGCCCGTCCGATTTTTAGCTGATTGATATATATTAAAATCAGCCAAATTTCAACCTATGCTGATTGGAATACATTAAAAATCAGTCAAAATTCAACCATCTGATTTATAGCTGATTGGAATACGAATTGGACAAATTTCAAAATATTTTATTTATAGCCGATTGGAATAATCAGATTTATTTGATAAATTTGAACATTACTAATTTTATCAATGAAAAAATAAAATTTAAAGAAAATTGCATTTATAGATGGTATTTTCTATTAATGGAATTGATGGCTAAATATTCTTTTACATTTCATCAGGTTGAAATTTGATAGTTTACTGGCACAAATTGACCCAAAATATGATGAACCGATATTACTTTAAGTATCACTTATTTTGATTTAATGCATAATAAAGAATTGTTTCTGATTTAAATTAAGTTTCGTATTGATTTAAATGTATTATTTCTGATTTACTTTAAGTCTCTCTGTATATTAACGAAATTGTTTCTAATTTACTTAAGTCTCATATTAATTTAATGTATTGATTGTTTCTGATTTATTTTAAGTTTTATTTTGATTTAATATGTATTGACAGTCTTGTATTAACTTAATATATTGATGAATTATTTCTGATTTACTTTTTAATATAATATATTTGTTTTAAAAAAAGTTTATTTCAGCTATATAAAA